CATGCTAATACAGTGGGAAGCTCACCTGCCCTGTTCCATACTTTGCATACTAATATAGTGGGAAGCCAACCTACCCTGTTCCGTACTTTGCATACTAATATAGTGGGAAGCCAACCTACCCTGTTCCATACTTTGCACACTTATATAGTGGGAAGCCAACCTACCCTGTTCTATACTTTGCACACTTATATAGTGGGAAGCCAACCTACCCTGTTCCGTACTTTGCATACTAATATAGTGGGAAGCCAACCTACCCTGTTCCATACTTTGCACACTTATATAGTGGGAAGCCAACCTACCCTGTTCCATACTTTGCATGCTAATACAGTGGGAAGCTCACCTGCCCTGTTCCGTACTTTGCATACTAATATAGTGGGAAGCTAACCTACCCTGTTCCATACTTTGCACGCTAATATAGTGGGAAGCCAACCTACCCTGTTCCATACTTTGCATGCTAATACAGTGGGAAGCTCACCTGCCCTGTTCCATACTTTGCATACTAATATAGTGGGAAGCCAACCTACCCTGTTCCGTACTTTGCATACTAATATAGTGGGAAGCCAACCTACCCTGTTCCATACTTTGCACACTTATATAGTGGGAAGCCAACCTACCCTGTTCTATACTTTGCACACTTATATAGTGGGAAGCCAACCTACCCTGTTCCGTACTTTGCATACTAATATAGTGGGAAGCCAACCTACCCTGTTCCATACTTTGCACACTTATATAGTGGGAAGCCAACCTACCCTGTTCCATACTTTGCATGCTAATACAGTGGGAAGCTCACCTGCCCTGTTCCATACTTTGCATACTAATATAGTGGGAAGCCAACCTACCCTGTTCCATACTTTGCACACTAATATAGTGGGAAGCCAACCTACCCTGTTCCATACTTTGCATGCTAATACAGTGGGAAGCCAATTTGGCTTGATCCAAACTTTGCATGCTAATACAGTGGGAAGCCAATTTGGCTTGATCCAAACTTTGCATGCTAATACAGTGAAATGCCCACCAGTAATACTTTGCATGCTACTACATTGAAGAGCCCACCAGCAATACTTTGCATGCTAATACAGTGGGAAGCCAACTTGGCTTGATCCAAACTTTGCATGCTAATACAGTGAAATGCCCACCAATACTACTTTGCATGCTAATACAGTGAAATGCCCACCATTAATACTTTGCATGCTACTGCATTGAAGAGCCCACCAGCAATACTTTGCATGCTAATACAGTGGGAAGCCAACTTGGCTTGATCCAAACTTTGCATGCTAATACAGTGAAATGCCCACCAATACTACTTTGCATGCTAATACAGTGAAATGCCCACCATTAATACTTTGCATGCTACTGCATTGAAGAACCCACCAGCAATACTTTGCATGCTACTGCATTGAAGAGCCCACCAGCAATACTTTGCTTGCTAATACAGTGAGAAACCCACTTGCCTTGATACATAATTTGCATGCTAATACAGTGAAATGCCCACCATTAATACTTTGCATGCTAATACAGTGAAATGCCCACCAGTGAAATGCCCACCAGCAATACTTTGCTTGCTTGAGAAGCCCTGGTCCATACTTTGCATGCTAATACAGTATTGTTCGATGTCTTATTTCTTACCATTAATAGACATTTTACATGGTATAAATACAGGATTTGATTTGATTGTGCCTCTGACATCTATTGAGATGGATAAAGTCCAGACAACACTGAGACAGTTTGTGCGAGACTGGTCAGAAGATGGACAAAAAGAAAGGGATACTGACTATAAGCCAATCATTGAAGAAATCATGAAAAGATTTCCTCCAGACAAGTGGTATGTATGAAATTGAATGTAATTTCTAAATATTTCTTGAATTATGTACAGGTTGGGCTTACATGATTCAAGAAATATTAACACTTCAAAATAACCTTCTAATGAACGTGAACATGTTTTATTTTGAAAAACCCTAATTTAGTATGACATCTGAATGATCTAAACTGTGTGTATATCAATGTTAAATTGCTCTCAAATCTAGATAGAACAAAAACAAAGTGTTTTGCAAAGTTGCATTGTTAATTGTAACTGTTCAAAATGTTCCACCAAACTTAGGACATTCAAAGGATTAACCTTTTCACCACCAGACTTTCTCACCCAAATTTGTATGGACTTTTTTCTTATATTCTACAGAATTTCTGGAAATGAACCTTAGTAGCATAAACAATTAGTGTAATGTGTACTGATAAAATATAAGTTCATCTAATACTGTGTTCACACATGTGTCGAAAAGTTGGTTTGCAGACCAGCTTTATAGTTAAGCTGGCTTTGAATCACGTATGAACAAGATAAGCCAGCACAACGTAGGTTTAGTTTGAGACGGCCTAAAATGGTAAGTCTCAACCGGCACCCCAAACTTACAGAAATAGTTTTAGCACAGGTTAAGCTGCCTTAAAAGCACGCCCTCAATGTCAGCCTTGCTCTGGAGTTCCATTCATTGTGAGTATTTTAAATAAACATTCGATAACAATGCAGACACAGTTTAGTCTTTATACACATATTAACTCAGAACCAATTAAAACCACTGATAAGAATTGTTTACCAAGTTGGTCAAGCCAGCTCTGTGGCACACATGTGAACACAGTATAAAATAGATCTAAGTAGATCATTTGCATAATGTCCACCAATCATACTTAGTTTCAATGAACTTGCTATCAACATTTTACAAATTTATGTTAATTTCACATGGATAAACTATTACATTCATTAGTGGGTGTGGCTCAGGGCAGTACAAACCACAATGTTGTGACATGGTGGTTTATGATGGGTTTAAACGTATAATTTCATTGTTACTATTTCCATCAGTTGGACAATCACTGCATAAACATTGATTTAGTGTTTCATGAATAAAACATAAAATAATTGATATCCTTTTACAGTGATGTGAGTAAAATCAGTGTTCTTGTACCTGGTGCTGGTTTAGGAAGACTTGCTTATGAAATAGCTGGGAAGGGTTATATATGTCAAGGAAATGAAATCAGTCTATTCATGTTATTTTCTTCTAACTTTATTCTTAACAGGTAAATGTTTTTCTTTTTTATATAGAACCATATGTGACCACAATTATCACCTTCTCTCTTTATAAGTATGTGTTAGCAAGTACATGTAGCAGCGTTTGCACCATAAAACACTGTTACAGTAATAATACTATATAGCACTGTGTTAGTACTATGTATCACTGTGTTAGTACTATGTATCACTGTGTTAGTACTATGTATCACTGTGTTAGTACTATGTAGCACTGTGTTAGTACTATGTAGCACTGTGTTAGTACTATGTATCACTGTTAGTACTATGTAGCACTGTGTTAGTACTATGTAGCACTGTGTTAGTACTATGTATCACTGTGTTAGTACTATGTAGCACTGTGTTAGTACTATATATGTAGCACTGTGTTAGTACTATGTAGCACTGTGTTAGTACTATGTAGCACTGTGTTAGTACTATATAGCACTGTGTTAGTACTATGTATCACTGTGTTAGTACTATGTATCACTGTGTTAGTACTATGTAGCACTGTGTTAGTACTATATATGTAGCACTGCCATTTTATTTAAGTGTGTTTCTGACCTGTTTCTGACCAATAACATGTCCAGGTGCACTATGATTGGTTGACTAAACTTGTCAGAGGGATCTCATTGAAATCTTCTTATATATGCGTTGGTTCGGTTGTACATGTATGTAGCAATATGGTGTACGTAATAATAATCAAAACAATTACAAACTATTTGGTGTCCA